TCAAATCCATACCCACTACTGAAAAAAGATTCAAATCCATATCCACACGGCATGGGCTGAGACAGTCTTATCAGAGAGGCGTGACCGTTCATGGTAAAGGAAGCTAATCAAATCATTTTTAAAAAAATCTCTCACCAAACTGTTATTGCTGCTCATTTTGTACCAGACTTTCCAGTGGTGTGCTGTGTTACAGTTCACTCAAGAGAGTCTCGCAGCTCCCACTTTTACTTGCATGGTGTCACCTGGACGTACAGATAGCAACGGCTAGGGTTGCCAACTTCCTCACCATCACACAGCTGGACCAGGAATCTCTCCTGCTCTTAAATGCCTGTCGCTGTCAGAAAGTGCTAGAAAGATTTCCAGGTTGATACTCAACCTGTTTGACCTTGTTACGAACACACTGTCTGTGCCTGAGGTGGGACTTGAGCCCTCTATTCTCCTGCACGCCTTATAAATGAACACACACCATTGCCATAAATTAAGGGAAAGTGTTTTCTGTGAAGCTGCCACCCTAGCTTCTCCCTACCGTCTCCAGGTAGGCAGGAGGTTCGAGCCATGTTTTTTTATCCAGAACAGTCTGTGGCAGATTTTTCTTGAGCTTCATCAGGTAGTTTGACCGAGCGAAAACCAAGAAATCTTTATTTTCCGGGCAACCTGGCTGATTTCTGAGCATGAAGCCTTTTATAAATCTGAAGGAAAAAGAAGCAGAATTAAAAGAATTTTCGAGGAATACTTCTTAAAGGGGCGGTATTCTTTAAAGGGACAGTGCATTTCAATCATGATGGCTGACATTATTATGGTTGATCTTCTCATGCCAACGGCAACTGTCTAACAATTTAATGATGTGGAGGTGCCGGTGTTGGACTAGGGTGGACAAGTCACATGATACCAGGTTATAGTCCAACAGAAAACAACAAACGCTAGAGATCACAGAGGGTCAGACAGCATCCATAGACAGGGAGCAAGCTAATGTTTCGAGTCTAGATGACTCCTCACCAGAGCTGACATGTGGAGAGGACAGCACTTATGCTATAGTTTGGGGGAGGGGGCTAGTGGGTGCAGAGTGCTGGTGGAGAAAAGATGTTGACAGTTCAGATTAAGTGATTGGAATGTGAGAATGGCAGAACAATGGTATGTCTAACTGCTAGACTGGAAAGAACGGACAGTCCCACTGGAATAGGGGGAGGGGAGAGAGGACATGGTGACAAAGAATGTAACAAGTAAAGCTAAAAGAAAGGGAGGGCATGGGAGCTGGTTCACAATTTGAAGGTGCTGATGTCAATATTAAGTCCAGAAGGCTGTAAAGTACCTAGTCTGAAGATGAGATGTTGTTCCTCTAGTTTGTGCTGTGAGTTACTGGAACACCGCAGCAAGCTGAGGACAGACAAATGGGCACGTGAGCAGGACGCTGTGTTAAAAATGATTGGCTACAGGAATGTAAGGGTCATGGTTGCGCACAGGCCAAAAGTGTTCCTCAAAACAGTCACCCAGTCTGCATTTGTTTTCTCCAATGTAGAGTAGGCCATATTGTGTGCAGTGAATACATTATGCAAGATTGGAGGAGATTCAGGTGAAACGCTGCTTCACCTGAAAAGACTGTTTAGCCCCTTGGATGGTGAGCAGGGAGGAGGTGAAAGGACAGGTGTTGCACCTTCTGCGGTTACATGGGAAGGTGCTGTAGGGAGGGTGGGGTTGGTGTTGGTGGTTGTAGAATGGACTAGGGTGTCCTGGAGGGACTGATCCCTGCAAAATGCAGACAGGGGGAGTGAGGGGAAGATGCGTTTGGTGGTGGCATTCTGCTGGAGTTGTCTGAAATGGTGGAGAATGATCCTTTGAATGCGGAGGCTGATGGGATGAAAAGTGAAGACAAGGGGGACCAGAGCTCACTGTTGTGAGAGATGGGAAGGGGCAACGGCAGGTGATAAGTCGGATAAGGTTGAAGACCCTGTCAACCACAGTGGGTGGGAAACCACATTAATGGAAGAAGCAAGCCATGTCAGCAATGCTGTTTTGGAAGGTGGCATCATCCGAACAGATGTGATGTAGGCGAGGGAACGTACTTTATTACTGTTTTTATTATGTGGTGAGATTTGATGAAAACATATTAATCGGACATTGAATCATGACACCGGCAGTTAGAGCGGAGATAGGTTGTGCCAGTTCCATTACAAGGAAAGATAGTGAGGCCACCTACTTTTTGATGATTTTCACAGCCCAGGCTCTCTTCCCTGCGTCCTGCCTTGCCTGAATTCCTCTCCAGCAGGTCTCGATCTTGATTGCTGGAATAAATACCAAGAGCAGAATCATTATCGCTTCACTGGGGTGGGGGAGGGAGAGGCAAAATCAGTCATCAAAACAAGTTTTACACCTCGTGTCGCCAGCTCTAGAAGGGCATACTCCTGGAGGTGTTGTGACATGACCTCCTGTCTCTAACCGTCCTGCCCCCACATTCTCGCCAACGGTTGCTCAGCAGGTCCAAACCTCCACCGGCCAATTAAAAAGCCAATCGGTCCTTCAGTCGTTGATTGGATGATTCTGCTGCTTTCCTCTCGCTTGACGTTTCCATGGCTTGGAAACAGAGCTCTTCAAAAAGAACCTGAAAACCATTCTGTTCTTCTGTCCCCTGTGGCTTTGCTCTCGTATCTGCTAGTAGCAGCGTCATGGAGATTAATTCCTGAAGGTGACAGGGCAATGCTTATGGTTGGCCACCCCATTTTCCTCACACTCCTTTGAGTTAAGTTGCTGGAACTCCCTGCCTGAGAAGGTGGGGCTGTTTGCTGGGAACCCTCATGACATGTGAGGACAATTTTAGGTGAGCAGTTGAAATGCTATAGCACCCATGGCTGTGGGCCAAGTGCTGGAAAATGGAATTCAAATTTTTTTTTTCTGAAGAAGGGCCTAGGCCTGAAACGTCAGCTTTCCTGCTCCTCTGATGCTGCTTGGCCTGCTGTGTTCATCCAGCTCTACAGCGTGTTATCTTCGAATAGATGGATGTTTGATGACTGGTGCTGACATATAGTCGTAGACACACACAGCACGGAAACAGACCCTTCAGTCCAGCCAGTCTATGCCAACCCATTATCCCAAACTAAACTACTCCCACCTGCCTGCGTTTGGCCTGTATCCCTCCAAACATTTCTTATTCATGAACTTATCCAAATGTCCTTTAAACATTGTACACGTATCCATCACTTTTTTCTGGAAGTTCCTTCCACACATGAACAACTCTGTGTAAAAAAATTGCTCCTCACATCCTTTCACCTTAAAAATATGTCCCTAGTCTTGAAATCTCCCACCCTAGCAAAAAGAACCTGTGTTTCATCTTATGATTTTATAAACTTATATAGGGTCACCCCTCAATCTCCCATGCTCCGGTGAAAAAAAAGGGTCCCAGCCTATCCAATCTTTCTTTATAACTCAAACCCTCCATTCCTGGCAACATCCTGGTAAATCTCTTCTGAACCCTCTCCAGTTTAATAATATCCTTCCTGTAGTAGGTATAAAAGGCTTCTTTGTGCTGTAAAAAAACACTCTCTGACTCTATTCTACGCATGTAAAAGAAAAGAAATCAGTGTGGCCCACCAAACTTACCCTCTTGCATACGTAAAATGTAAACCCTGCTGTGACCATTTTCACTTCCTTCTTACGCTTGTCCCAGAATCATTGCATTGGCCAGAATCTGACCAATCCTTTTTTTCCTTAAAATATATTCATTGAATGACCAGCAATATTTCTCGTCTTTTCCACTCCACTGTCAGTGCCGGGGAATGGAAGCGTTTCCATGGTTGCAGAAAACAGTCCCTCTGCAATTTGCCCCATTCCCTATCCATCATGTTTCCCAGCTCTCATTCGAAGGTAGGGGCAGGGGCTTGAGATGGCTCCTGGTAAAACATTGGATGAGGTGCATGCAAATAGCTTCCAAAACGCAGCTACGCAAGATACGGACAAGTTGAGAAACCTTGGAGGTAACTTGAATTTAGCACCACCAATCAGGATTTTACATCCTGGCCTATTAACTACTTGTTGACTTCAAGGGCTCGCAAAATCAGACAAGGTGTAAAATCAATATCACAGCCCATGCTGTCATCCCATTAACAGGTGAATTTATTCCCAGCTGGTAATAAAATGAAACAGATGCAATGCAATGCCTATTCTTTCCCTCTTACCTGCTTTTTTCTGTTTCTGAAACTCCTCCCTTTGAATTTTGCCCCTGTATTTAGCCTGGAGCCTCGCAACTGGAAAAGTGCAAAAAATGGTTTGTGATTGACAACATTCGGGAGCAGTTCAGACAGTGAAACAGTCAGCGATTAATAATACAATTACATTCTTGGCCATGGGGCAGAGGGAAGTGCATGACTGTTGCCTTCGATTAGATTCAAACAGCGGGGTGAGTAAGCGCGCCATTGGATTTGCAAGGGAGCCTTACAACAACAACTTGCACTTACATAGCACCATTATTAAAATATCTCAAGACCCTTCACAAAAGAGTACTCAAACAAAATGGTATGCTGAGCCACATAAGGTGCTGTTAGGACTAGTGACCAAAAACTTAATTAAAGGTTTTCAGGAAAATCTTAAAGGATGTGAGAGAGAGCGAGAAAGCCTTAGGAAGGGTGACCAGAGCCTAGCATCCAGGAGAATGAAGACAGGGCACCGATGGTGGAAAATCAGGGATCACAAGTGTCCAGAATTGCAGGAGTCTATACAACGGTCTATAAGTACAGTACATGCAATATCTTACAGAGATGGAGGGGGTGAGGCATGGGTAGAACTGGGAGAAGGATTCCCATGGTCAGGGCTCATCATCATGCCAGCAGTTACATGGGGACACCACCTCCTCAAAGCTCCCCTCCAAATCACTCACCATCCTGATCTGGAAATATATCACTGTTCCTTCAGTGTTGCTGGGTCAAAAACCTTGAACCCTCTCCCTAACAGCACTGTGCTGCTTTCCCTACAGTAAACGGGACTGCAGTGTTTCAAGCAGGCAGCTCACCACCACCTTCTCAAGGGCAACTAGGGATGGGCAATAAATGCTGGCTCAGACAGTAATGCCCAGGTCCTGAGAATAAATTTTAAAAAGGGCCCAGCAAAAGGAAACGTTATCTGGATGAAAGGAGGAAAATTAATTACAGTCAAATAAAAATTTTCTATTTTGTTGAGTTACCACAGTGTGGAGCTGGAGGAACACAGCAGGCCGGGCAGCATCAGAGGAGCAGGAACGTTGACATTGCGGGTCAGGACCCTTCTTCAGAGCTGTGTTCCTCCAGCTCCACACTGTTATCTCTGACTCCAGCATCTGCAGTCCTTACTATTTCTATTTTATTGGTTTGCATGGCCTTGCTTATGTTCCAATATTCCTTTCTTCTCTCAAGCATAGGTGGTGTTTGAGTGTCATCTGTTGGCAATGGTTTGAAGAGATGACTGCTGATCCCAGTTCCCTTCTTTCATTATAGAGAGAGAGTATCCTCTCTGTGCAGAGGGTTGGGATTGAACAGAGCAGAACTCAAATGCATCCTCATCCTTGTTGCATGCCACACAATATTTGAGGACCCCTGGCTGAGTCTATATACAAATCCCTGGGTTAAAGCCTGTTACAGATGGACTGAAGAATAAATTGCTAATTAGCACATTTCAGGGAGAATAAGGATGAGAGTGGGCATGCTAGAACTTTGAAAACTTTGAGCAGATGGGCTCAAATGCACAAATTATTCAAAGTTGTAGGAAACATGAACCCAGTTGTTAATATGTGAATGAAATTGTCAAGTTTTGAAATAATGCTACTGCTACACCTGCCCAACAAGAAATGTCTTAAAAAATTATCAAGTCCCACTTATTTGTGTCTCTTATAGCCAGTGATGGCCTTGCAAATGTTAGTCAGGCCCACATTTAAAATGGCGTGGACGACCCAAAGACATCATCAAGACGTAGCACTGCCATTTAAAACAGACCCCCACCCCTCTAGGACAGGTGGCTTTCTCGTGCCTGCAATCAAACAAGGAAAAAAAATGGTGGTTCAGAGAACATTGCAGGAATGAGGCCCAAATCCCCACGAACATCTAATCCTGCACCCACCACTGTCAACCCCCAGACTGCGTCATGCCCACTGGGTTAGGATAAAATCATCTTTGACTAAGCTTTAGGTCATCTGACTGTTTCGTACAGTGCCATATGATGCTAATACTCCTGTGAAACACCTTTCAAGATGTTAGAGGTGCTGTATGAGTGTAAGTTGTTGTAGTCATTGTCCCTTACACTTTTTAAAGAAAGATAGAAGGTCAGGGAGCAGGGAAGGCCTGCAATCGCACCTAGGGCATTCTTGCTGGCTTGATATGCATCTTCAGTTGCGAACAGTGTCTTCGGAAAACGGATAAATATCTTTGTTCTGAAAAGCAAAAAGAAACACCTATAGCATCTTAATCAAACTCTCAAATAATGGAATGGGTTACCCCTCTTCCGAGGTTATGTTCACGTCTGGGTGTCCTTGGAGAGGGAGCACACAGTGTCTATCAACACTCTCAATGCCTTCAGAGAGAGGTGGGCACTGCAGGGAGTAAAGTGCCTTATTTGCTTCTCCAACTCCAAGCTGATTTTGATCCTTCCCTCCCTCCTTGGTGGGTTTTGCTCATCAATTGATAACTGAATTAAGGTGATCAAAAACCATGCAATGATGTGTAAATGCATCTCTAGATATATAGAAAGGAATAATGGGATAGGGTGGGAACTTCTGGTGTGGTGGTAGTGTCCCTGCCTCTGAGCCAGGAGGCTCAGGTTCAAGTCCTACCTACTCCAGAGGCATTTGATAACATCTCTGAACAGGTTGATTAAAACTATCAATGACAGAAAGGAAATGAATTAGAACTTAATATGGGCAAAGGGAGGTGGAAAACCAAATCACAAGAAAAGCTGTATATGATCAATATTTTAATTCACAAACAAGCTGAAACACTGTCTTATCTGCTGCTGTTATCTCTGGAAAGAAAGTGGCCCAGAGGGTGTGCTGGCATTTGAAGAGGTAGACATACATTTCCAGGTGTTGGCAACACTTAAACCCAGGGCCCTAAATATGAGAAGGTCACTATTAAATGCGACAGGGAATTTCGGAGAAACTTTCCCAGCAAGGAATTAGAATGTGAGACTTGATATTGCGAGGGTTTGGGGTGAATAGGCTGGGTGTGTCCATTGGGATAGGTAACTGAGGGAGATATGGGGATATGAGCTAATAGTGTCAGCTGAAGGTGGGTGAGAGGAGACCCCTATGGAATCTGGACACTTGCACTGACTGCAATGTATGTCATGCTTTCCATTTACTTCCACACATGCACAATTGAAGCTGTACGGCTCATGTGGCACAGTTGTAGTGCCCCTACCTCTGAACCAGGAGACCTGGGTTCAGGCCCCACCTATGCCAGAGGTAATAGATCTCAACAGGTCAATCTGTAATATCTATGATTTGTGTTGTGGGTCTCACTCCTGAGAGATGCCTGGCAAGATTTTACATCCACTTGTCAGCTGTTCAATGCCCATCTCATTGGGGGCATCATAGTTGGGTCTGCTGGATACACAGTCATAATGCTGAATATTTCTTCAGAGGGAAGATGTTGCCATCTCTGGGAGCAAACCCCTGCCAGACGGGCCCCTGCGGTGCTTTCTACTGGTGCCATGCTATTAAGAGCCTGCCAGTGGCAGTGCCCTCTGATGGGGCACAGTCACCTGCCTGCCACAGTTACCTAGCCAAAGTAGGCCGATGAGCGCAGGGGTGATGGTTTTGTGAAATGGGGCACAAGCTGTAGAGTGTTGGTGAGCCTGAGGGTTATAAATGGGAGGCCGGTCAGTGGACAGGTAAAGCTGAACCCTCTGTACCCAACCCAACATTGCTAGGGTCTAGCAGGAAAGGCAGAGGAGCCAACCACTTGGTGAGATGGCTGGGAACCTACATAAAAGATTCCAAGTCTTATTGTTCATCAGCTCCCACATGCACAGACAACAATTTAAACTTGTGCATCCTATGTAAATTCAGGGAAGGTCTTTACAATCAATGTAACAAGGTAATCAGGAATATCTACACATCCCCTCAAAATTGCCACTCCATTCAATAAAATCATGGCTGGACTTCATAGCATAGATCGTATATAATACCATATTCCATACATAAAACATCAAGGGGAGGGAGTGCTGTATGGTAATGTTACTGGACTAGTTATTCAGAACCCCAGGCTAATGTTTTGGGGAGTTTTTTTGATTTATTCACAGGATGGTGGTGTCACTGACTAGGCCAGCATTTATTGTCCATCCCAGAGGGTAGCTGAGAGTCAACCACGTTGCTGCGGGTCTGGAGTCACATGTAGTCCAGACCAGGTAAGAATGGCGTTTTCTTTCCCTAAAGGACATTAGTGAATCAGATGTGTTTTTCCTGACAATTGACAATGGTGTCACGGTCATTGTTAGACTCTTAATTCCTGATTTTTACTGAACTCAAATTCCACCATACGGCAGGATTCAAACCCGGATCCCCAGAACATTCCTTGGGTCTCTGGATTAACAGTCCAGCGATAACATCACCAGGCCATTACCTCTCCTTCAAACATAGGCTCGAACCTCATCGTGGCAGATGATTAAATTTGAATTCAGTAATAATCTGGAAGAAAACCCCAGTGAAAAGGTAAACACTGTCAATTGTTTTAAGCCCCATCTGATTCACTAATGTCCTTTCGGGAAGGAAACTGCCATCCTTACTTGGTCTAGACTATATGTGACTCCAGACCTGCAGCAATATGGTTGACTCTTAACTGTTCTCTGGGCAATTAGGGATGGGCAATAAATGCTGGACCATCCAACAATGCCTTCATCCCATGAACAAATAAAACAAAAATCGCATCTCTGATTCCATCACTGTTCAAAAAACCAATCTGATATAACGTTTTACATTTGTTTGATGATGTTTTCCTTATGTACCTTCCCATTTTGTATTCCTCCTGTTTGTAGCCAATATGTTTCACCAGTCGTTCAACTCCTTCTGAAGCAGGTCCATGCCAGTTTGGCCAAGTGTCAGGGCACAATAACTTATACCTACAAGAAAAGAACACGGAAATGTGTGAAAGGGTAACTCTGACTCCAGGACATTAGCGAAGCGAGTATCCTTGTTTGTCTTCCCTCCATTTACATCATTCTCCCTCAACCTCCTCAGCACCTGGATGATCCACTTGTCTGTTTGAATCCATTAGGAAAACAGGAGGACTATCTGTGACCCTGTCACTGTCTGAAACTTGCCTCAAACCATTCTATCTCAATGGTACCTACAAGGCACATCTGTCCTATTAAGAATGTCTGAGCTGTAGTTATAAAGGGATTATCAGCCCTTAATTAGAGTCAAATATCCCGAAGCAGCCCACGGTGGTATGATTAAAACCAGGCCGTGTAGATCTGTCACTATAGATCCATACAGTTGGTTCTGCTATAACGCATTTTCCGGCAAAATGAATTGGCTATAATGCGATTGACCAATAGGGGAACGCTGTTTCTAGAACGCAAACTTGTATTGGCTATAACGTGATTGACCAATAGGGGAACACTGTTTCTAAAACTCGAACTTGTATTGGCTATGACATAATTGACCAATAGGGGAACACTGTTTCTAAAACTTGAACTTGTATTGGCTATAACGTGATTCCATCAGCACGTGGATGGGTATGTGTCAACATCACATGATCATTTCACCGCCTTTCCCATGAATATGTACAATGTTAGCGCCGAAAGAGTCACTGCACCAGCATCACATGATCATTTCGCGGGTTTTGGCATGAAGAGCTTTCTGTGAGAGGTACAGTATAACGTCCTCCCCATCAAGTCACCTTGATATTTTTTCAGGGTAAAGTGTTAAATTTACTTTTATTTCATTATTAGAAATGAATTAAACATTTATTCAAATTGGGCTATCCTTTGTGTTAAGCTTTGGAGTGATTTTTGAGCAATTTTGAGCGATATTCTTTGGTGGCCTGCCCCAACCTCACTTTTCCCATAGGCCCCGTTATTTCTATAGTGTGTTTTTCTATAATATGGTGTTGCACAGCAACGCAACTATCATGTTATAGCAGAACCGACTGTATTCCATTTCTCTCTGAGCCATTGGACCACTCCAAACGGCAGCCATGATACTTGGCTAGTTTCTCCTGTGCCTGTATTCATTGAGAAGTTTGTGGCTGGGTCATCTTGAGACAAGGTTCCATTCTGTGCTGAGTTGCTCCCAGTCTGATTTGTCTTTCAGCCAGGGTGAAACTGGCTTCATTTTGGTCCCTGTGCCCCTGGTCAGAAGAAAAACAAGGGGAAAATTAGCTAGGGTTCCCACTGCCACTGTTGCAGTTCATTGGGCAGTGCATGTGTGGACATAAATGAGAATAGGGTGGCATTGCTAAGGTTGGACATCCTACTGACACTCACACATTCAGATGAAATATAGCCAATCTTCGTGAAGTACTGGAGGATGGCAGTCCACCATAGCATTAGTGCTCAAGAAGAGTTAGTACCCTCACAACAGGAGGAGCACCGAAAGGAGTATATGTCTACGTTTGCTTCATTTGTGTGGCCTGGAAGAGAAAGTTTCTTTGTCCTTGTACTAGTCAATTCAACAGCTACATCCATCTGATGTATTCTCCTTACCTTTTCAAGAATGCATCGAACTTTCTGCGGTAAGCGAAGCCTGCTCGTCTCACCCGCAGATGTTCCATCAGACCCAGATACTTCACCTGATGTCTCACAAGCATGTCGTCAAACCTACCTGCAAAAGGATGGACAAGATGGGAAGTGACAGAAGGAGAATAAATTCATTTGGTCAGTAGCAAATGCCTGCACTTACAAAACTATTGTTTTTATTATTCACTTATGGGATATGTGCGTTGCTGGCTAGGCTTGCTTCTATTGCTTATCCTTAATTGCCCAGAGTCAACCGGAAGATGAATCCTTTTGTGATGCTACTGTGTTTTTTAGAGAGATGTGTTTCTGCTGCAGAGAGGTCTTGCCACAGTGGTGCAGGAATGTCTCCTTTAAACAGGCAATTGATAAACAGCTTCTCCATGGGTGTTTTTATTAAATGACACAGAAGAGTCATGAGTGTGTGGTGTGAGGATTCACACCAGATCCAGGAAGACTTTTAGTTTTGCTCTCAGTTAGAAGATTTTCTGCTGGCTGCTGAGTAAATAAAACTTGAGTTCTCAGCGGCTAGAGTGAAGTCTTAGAAACTGAGGCTTCCTCTTAAAAATCAAAAGGGGCAGATTGTTTCTTTCTTCTGGACTGGAGAAAGGCAGCACATGAGAATCAGAATGGAATTGCATTTTTGTCAAACGGTGTGTTTGTGGAATGCTGCCTATATTGGAACTGTTGATGATTAGTGGTTAAATAATACATTCTTTCATTAAGTATTTCAATAAAGTTATGGCAATTTTTTTTTGTATTTTAACTGTGTTGTAAAAGTAAAGTGTGTTTTGATTAAAGCCTAGTGGTGGACGAATCAAACCACATCTGGAGCATAGCACCTTGTATTTGCCTTTAAATAAATATAAACGTTAGGGTCGAGGCTATCTCCTGCCAATCTTTTGGATGGGGTCTGGTCTAATCCATAACACTTCAGACATCTTCAACCAACCTGTTCAGGAACGTTATTATACACTTCTGGAGTAGGTGGGACTTGAGCTCAGGCTTCCTGGTTCAGAGATAGGGATGCTACCACTGTACCACAAGTTCCTACAAATTGAAGCTTTTATAAATTGATTGTGATTCATTGTAATGAACATGACCCCTATATCTTGCAACTAAAATTTCATACTGACATGGGCTTTTTAAAAAATTCACCTATGGGTTTTTGGATGTTACTAGCTAAGACTACATTTATTGTCTGTCCCTAATTGCCATGAGGATTATCAACAGTGAGAGTTTGGAGTCACATTTAGGCCAGACCAGTAAAGATAGTAGGTGGTCTTCCTAAAATGACATTACTCAACCCCAAGATGGGGTTTTATGACAATCAGCAGTAGTTATATGGTTACCGTTAAGTAAGCTTTTTAATTTCAGATAGTTTATTAAATTCCTTGGCTGAGATTTGAACCCATGATTGCTAGTCTAGTGACATTACTACATAACCTCTGCCTCCCCTAATGAAGGAAGAGGGGAGGGGAAGGGAATGGGCAGTGGGAAATGGAAAGCTTGACTATTTTTGCCATATCAAGCAGCCCCAAGGTTAGGTACATCGCCCTGAAGGGGTGTTCAGCAATATTCAACATATCTGGCTCAAAGTCTGAGGCTTACCTGGCTGCTTGGCATCATTCGGCTTGATACACCTGACATACGAAGGCACCTTTGAGATCAGGATGTCAATCAGACCCATCAAGCTGTATTTGAACTGTGTGGCCACCTATTCGAGGAGAAATAGTCGTAGGAATAAGCAGTGAGTCGAGCCCAGGACTTTAAACATGTTGAGTACAATTTGGCAGGTCACATCAGATTTTGTTTTGTAATCATTTGTGTATAAACGCATTGTCTGCAGTTGTCGTCTCCAGTTACTATTTTTAAGGAAAGCACTCTGTAGATCCTTTTAGAATTACAATGATGAGCATTATTTAATACAGCGTAAATATTTTGCAACAAACCGTGGCAGCCGTTAATGTGAAGATCAATATCATTTAAGATGTTTGTCGGCAATATGCCTGTATTATTCACAAGCTTTCACAATGATATTCAGTTCTCTGGGTGGGACAATAGAACAGAATGTCAGCAGGCACAAAGTCCAGCAGGACACCCTGTGTTAAACATAACTGATCTCAAGATGGATAACAGTACAGGTATGACAATCAATCTTGAGGTTCTTGAATTAGGAAGAGAAAATTCATCCAGGATTGTCTCACTCCCACAATAGCATTGTTTTCCTGGGGTCAGAGAGTGTGGGCTTGAACCCCATCCCAGAAACTGAACAGATAATGCAGGGAGTTGCTCCAACAGCGCAGTACTGAGAGATGCAATTTTAAACAACGATCCTAGCCTCTCAGATTGGCATAAAAAGGTCCCATGATACTAGTCAAAAAAGAGTAGGGATGTTTCCCTGGGTATCCTGGCCAACAATTATCCTTAACAAGCATTACTAAAACAGATCACTTCATTGCTGTTGGTGGGAGCTGGCTGTGGACAAATTGGCAATTGTATTTCCTACACAATACCGAGAACGATGCTTCAAAAGCTAATTAGCTATAGGTGCTTTTTGGAACATGCTGAGGTTGTGAAAAGCATTATATAAATGCAGGTCTTTCTTGTTTTCACTCTGATCACTGCTGGAAGTTACTTTTATATGAAAACCGAAAGAACTGCAGATGCTGTCAATTAGAAACAAAAACAGAAATTTGCTGGAAAAGCTCGGCAGGTCTGGCAGCATCTGTGGAGAGAAATGAGAATTTTTTGGGTCAAAGGATCCTTCATTAGAATTCTGCCAGACCTGCTGAGCTTTTCCAGCAATTTCTGTTTTTATATGAATTCCTTTTATATGAATGCTGATTGACAGTTCTGCCCCACGCCTCACATTAGCTCATATTATAATACCATCTTTAGTCTGTTAGTAGGAGCTGGCTTCTCAATGGGTAGTGTCCCTGCCTCTGAACCAGCCACTCTGGGTTCGAATCCCACTCCCACATTTGTTGACCATGGAGGGAATGTTGATGACATGGTTTAATAAGCTACCGATCCTTTCAACAACTTCCCACAATGCCCAAGGGGAAGAAAACTTGGGTGAAGATACAAAACAGACAGATAGTCTTGGCTAACACAGTGTGGAGCTGGAGGAACACGGCAGGTCAGGCAGCATCAGAGGAGCAGGAAAGCTGAAGTTTTGGGTTGGGACCCTTCAGAAGGTTTCTGAAGAAGTGTCCCGACCCAAAACGTCAGCTTTCCTGCTCCTTTGATGCTGCCTGGCCTGCCTTGTTCCTCCAGCTCCACACTGTGTTATTCTCTGACTCCAGCATCGGCAGCTCTTACTATCTGTGAGATAGTCTTGGCTCTCTGGTGTGGAATTGCCACACAACACCTTCAGCAGAGAAATTGGATAAAATTAGCCAAAAGCACAAATTGAATTGAAAATAATCTATTAACAAGACATTGGTGAGCTGGTCTTGGCAAGGTACAAAAATACAGGAATGTATTTAGAACTAATCATGATCTACATAGACAGCAACAGCAAAGTTAATACTCACAGTCTCGGGTCTTTTCTTGGTATCTAATTCATTTGAACTGAAACAGTTTTTAATTATGAAATTTGTGGAGCCACACATGACCTGCACACAAGAGACAGAGAGCTGTTAGTTACATGCTCACAGTTTGATACAATGTAAATTTTACATATGAGACAAGTTCTCTTTGCATTTGAAAAACGAATTTAGAAAAATCTAAAAGATTACGCTATCCATAAAGTGATGGGGGCTAAATGGCAGGGACTTGGCCCAGTAAATGTAGTATTCAATTTTTTAATATTTGATCATATAGGTATGTTTACAATTGATGCTAACTGTGCTTGATTAGTTAGTTTTTGCTGTAAAAGTTGCTGCAAGCAAAAAATTGTAACATTTTAAAGTTCTATGAATAAAATCTATGACATATAAACAAACTAGCGTCATCTCTGCATCGCTCTGAAAATATAAAATGCATGACAGCAACTGACGAGAAATTTGAGAGTCCGCACATTAAAATGCAGAAATCCAGAAGCTGCTCTCTGTGATTCTAAGTTTCTCAAAAGGGTTCATTGTTGCACTTCCTCAGACTATAAGCAATTTGAGATCACTGAACTGACAAGATCTTTCACTCTTATAGTCTTATTTCAACTCTCAAAACTTGTGAAAAGGTCACTTATTTTTGAATGAGGTGTAACCAGGATCTTAGCTATTAGCTAATTTCATAATTACTGTTAAACAACCTCACTTACTTTGAAAGAATAGTTTTACATTTGTCGAATGCCAACTTTTTCCGTAATAAGAAATTATGCACATTGTTAAAAATATTTGTAAATTTGGTTTCTGTTGTTTTAACTTCGGCCTAACTCCCACACACACATTCCAACCATTTATTCCGTTATCAGTAAAATCTAAAATAGCGAAGAGACTCAAACTTCTTTTTACTTTCCTGTTTTACAGTGCCTTGAAATACTTCGATGTGATTGTTATTTACTCTATATGATTAAAAATTACTGTTGCCAGGCACCTAGAGGTCTCTTGATTTGGCACCAGATTCAAACTAATGTCAGGAAGGAGGAAGGAGGAAAATCCAGGCCACAGAAATTGCCAGTCATTTTGGAACTGCTTTCTTTGAGGTTGGGGAAAATGCCTTTACTTTGCCAGTGACCGCAAAATCGAGGTCAATTAGTAGAAGAAAAGTTAAACTTCCTTAGGAGAGGGGAAGTGAGGTTCAAAGACGCAGCCATCCATATTCTCTCACTCCCTGCCATCCATTCCCAGAATACCTTTCATCAGACAGACACAAAGTATAAATGTACCAAGACTGAGGCCTGGTAGGAAATTGTTTGGAATGGGCAGATGCACAAGTCAAGGTCTGGAAGTCAATTGCTTGCATTGGTCAAAGCCGGTTATCTGTTCTGAGGAAGGGTCACGGGACCTGAAACGTTAACTCTGTTTTCTCCTTCATAGATGCTGCCAGACCTGCTGAGCTTTTCCAGCAACTTTGCTTTTGTTCCTGACTTACAGCATCCACAGTTCTTTCGGTTTTTATTATCCCTCTGTGTTCATCACCTCGACAGAGACCAATGCAGTTTGTCGTTTAGGAGGTTAGTGTTGGCATCACTTGGCTTGGAATATTAATTCACAGTCCCAACAGTTACCTCAGTGGGATTGGGGAATGTTTTTGATATTGAATTGTTGAGTATGATCAGAGTTTCTCATCGTGAATGATTTCTGTGTTCACTGCCGCACAACCCCTTTAAGGAGGGAAGGCCTGAAACTTTTCCTGAGCTGGTGCTTACCTCTTTGAGATTCCTGTACAGAAGATCATTGTTCTTGTCAAGAAATCCTAGTTGAAGGAGAGATGAAATAGAATTATACCTTTTCAGAATGTGAATAGGTATAAAGTTTACCATCACAAATTGTTTGATGAAGGAACATTCTCCGACATTGAAAAGTTATGCAATGTCTTTTCTCCTAGCAAAAGTGACCCCACCATTTTATTAAACAAGACTACTGTGAGGCTCTCCTGTCTGGTGAGTATAGGACCTGTCAGCATGTGAAAACTCAAAGTTTTTAACAACACTCGCAATCTTCAGATAGAAGGATGCAACTAAATTAACAACAAGCATCATTATTCACTCTGAGCCAGTAATTCTCTGGTAAAGTGTTAGTGGTGCCATATGCAAGAATGGGTACAGATTTAAAAATAGAAAGTGCTGGAGAAACTCAGCAGGTCTGGCAGCATCTGTGGAGAGAGAAACAGAGTTAGCATAGAATACAATATGGTTCTTCATTAGAATCATTGGGAAGAAGTCACATTGGACTTGAAATGGTAACTCTGTATCTCCCATCAGATCTGCTGGGTTTCTCCAGCACTTTCCATTTTCAATCCAGACCTCCGGCATCTGCAGCATCTTCCTGTTGTCTTAAGGTTACAGGTAGGTTAGGAATGACTATCATGTATGAGCTTGCTCCTCGTCCATGGACCCTGACTCACCTACAACATTATAAGTGACTTCTCCCGCATAGTGTAGCAGCCTAAAGTCACCACGACACATGGTCTTCCTCGTCTTCTGATCTGCCAACTTGTGTCTGTAAGACATAACGGAGAACAAATTAGATATAAGCCTTTATAAACCCTTGTAGGAGTCAATCATCTGGTTAGATCCATGGAAAATTAAATGTCCTTTAGACTTGGAAGTAAACATCTACGTTTCCCTCCCTTGCCTAGAATACAGTTGGTTTGGCATCTCCACATATCTCTCCAGTTTCTCCCTCTTTCTCCTGATATAGTGTTCCTCACACAATCCCATAGGCACTAGCAGCTCTTCACTACTCAACCACGTATAATTTCGACAGAGAGGGGCAGGAGACTATCTGACCTTAATGTGTCAAAATTCAACACAACCCTATGTTTGACTGATGCCTGCACACCTTCGCTTTTGAGAGGAATTGACTCACATGCAGTAGTGCACAGGCATACTCCTAGGCTGAATGTACACTGGGTCAATTTGTTATTCAACTTCTACTCTAACTGTGGTGAGCAAAACCAGCACATACCAAGGTCTGATAGCACAGGCTGTGGTGAGCTGTGTGGCTCAGCAGCAGGCTGATGGGTTTTGTTTGGTCCACTATGTCTCTAAGGGTCATAAAAAATCATCACTTACAATCAAGTGTCTTTAAATTAAATCACCAAGGTGATTTCTGCGACCAGAATGATTGGGAAAATAATAAAAACTATTTCTGTCTCTAAAGAGTGTGGTTTTGCCATTCCTAATCAGAAATTTTGGATCTGATTGAAATTGGAACTCTACTTGGGCATGTACAGTAGCTAAGAAGAAAGAATCTATTTCAAATACAAAGAAGGAACAGTGAATATCCAACAATGGGGGCATGATGCCATTGCCTGGGGCGCTCTGATGGTCGATTGCTGTAATGTACAGCTCCATGGTCATTAACCACTTGACGAGGATTGAGATCTAACCTGGGCAGATAGAAATAAAGTCTATGGCTTTACAGATGCAAGAATTGGATCAAAGCTTAGTTTCGAGTAAGTGGATTCCAAATTCCATCACTTCATTGAATTCACTTGGAGGTTGAATCCCTACAGTGTGGAAGTAGGCCATTTGGCCCATCAAGTCCACCCTCCAAAGACCATCCCATCCAGACCTGTAACCCTGCATTACCCATGGCTAATCCACCTAGCCTGCACATCCCTACACACTGTGGGCAATTTAGCACAGCCAATCCACCTAAGCTGTGCATCTTTCGGCTGTGGGAGGAAACCGGAACAGCCGGAGGAAACCGGAACAACCAGAGGAAACCCATGCAGACATGGGGAAAATGTGCAAACTCCACACAGTCACCCGAGACTAGAATTGAAACTGGGCCCTGGCGCTGTGAGGCAGCAGTACTAACCACTGAGCCAAGGTGCTACCCCTAAATAGATATTAAAGGTATGTGGGAAATGGGGAACTCAAAAAAGCAGATCAGGCTCCTTTTCTAGTTTGAGTCTAAGAGTAGAAGAGGATTTACTTTGGATGGGGTTTGATTTGCCCCTTGTCCTGGGAAAGCTTTGTGGGGTCAGTGTAAAAACACTGGAAGCAAGTGGAAACTGTGTGAGAGATAGTAGGAACTGCAGATGCTGGAGAATCTGAGACAACAAGATGCAGAGCTGGATGAACACAGCAGGCCAAGCAGAAAGGCTGACGTTTTGGGCCTAGACCCTTCATCAGAAATGGGGGAGGGGAAGGGGGTTCTGAAATAAATAGGGAGAGAGGGGGAGGCGGATAAAAGATGGATAAGGGAGAAGATAGGTGGAGAGGAAACAAACAGGTCGAAGAGGCGGGGATGGAGCCAGTAAAGGTGAGTGTAGATGGGGAGTTAGGGAGGGGATAGGTCAGTCCAGGGAGGACGGACAGGTCAAGGGGGCGGGATGAGGTTAGTAGGTAGGAGATGGGGGTGCGGCTCCCAATCACGAACCAAAGCTGAGGGACAGAGCTGAGCGCAATCTGGACTGAGCATGCTCAATTTGTGCTCGTCAAAACACATACCATTCTATTCTATTCTCCAGGACTGTACCTCTATGACAACAAACTTCTCAATAATAAAAGAAGACAAGAAAGTGTTCAGTTCCTGGTTATCAAACGTATCCCTTACCCCACCCCCCACCCCATAAAAAACTTTATTTAAAAGTTGTAGTCTCAGAGGGACAACAGAAGCTGTGAGCTTATATACAGCCCCTCAGATACCCACGTTACAAAATGAGGGTGAGCTCCCACTTTCTCCTGTAGTCTGTCCAGGAAAGTAAGGTCTGTGGCTTCTCCAGGTCTCAGACATTCTTCATCCTCGTTGGGAAGGAAGCAGAAAGCCACTCGGTTAACAGCACATTACACAGAGATACAGAAAAGGTCTCCCACCAGGTAACCCAGGAAAGCTGAAGAACGCTTAATGGGGGAGAAACTGAGGGCTACTTATAAACAAGTTCCATTGTAATAACAGTGAATAGTATTGTAGAAATTGGGGTGGCCATTCAACCCATTATATCTGAGCTATCCAGTTAGGCCATTCTGTTTCCCTTTTCCCTTAGCCCTGTACATACTTTGTTTCCCTTTTGGAAATTGCTGTTTCCATCACCCTTTCACACAGTATATTCCACATCATAGCAATGCACTGTGTAGAACAAATACTTCTTACCTCTGCTCTAGAATGTAGAGACAGATGAAGGCCATTCAGCCCTCGAACCTGCTCTCCCTGATGTGGACCATGTTTGTGATGGCAGTGATTATGGTCCAGTAGCCTGCTGTCTGAGCTCACACATGCATGAGGCTGAGGGAGATTGCTGCTGTTTGTAATACCAAGTTTAATGTAAGTCAGTGCTTTCAGAAGGAAGGAAAGTGATACTAGACAAATGTTGGAATAAAGCCAACTAATTCTGTCAATGTTTCAGTGTAGGGTCTTGCTGGAAGAATGTAGGAATTTAAATGGCCATTCAGCTTTTTGAAACGATTTTATCATTCAATTAGATCATGGCTCAGCTCCCTTTTTACACCGTCTTGTCTCGTTAATGTCCTTTATGGAGAGGAAGCTGCGGCCCTTATCTGGTCTGGCCTATAAGTGACTCAAGGCCCGCAGAAAAATGGCCAAGTTACTCACTCGCATTCAAGAAGGAAGCTCACCACTACCTTCTTAGGGGAAATGCTGCTGTGGCCAGTAACACCTACATCCCTGGAATGAATTAAAGGGAAGAAGTGGATGATGGGAATGCAGCAACAAGGGATGGTGACTTACTTCTAATAAAACAATACATAGAAAGACTTGTTTTCTTACAAGAATAGAGATAATTCCTTTGTACTTTTGTTCCACAAGGTCACAGATGATCTTGTTGTTGAAGTATTGGATTGACTCCCACTGCAGACACAGGATGAATAAAGTCAGACAGACATCAGATCATAGAATGCTGGTAAAAGGAGGCCATTTGGCCCATCACATCTGTTCCAATTCTTTGGAAGAGCTTTCCAGAAGTCCCAGTCCCTGCTGTTTCCCCATTGTTTTGCCAGTCTTTTTATCTCTTCAAGTGTTAGGGAGGGGATGGCCTAGTAGTATGATCGCTGGATTATTAATCCAGAGACCCAGCTAATATTCTGGGGATTTGGGTTTGAATCTCGCCATGGCAGTTGGTGGAATTTGGATTCAATAAATATCTGGAATTAACAATCTAATGATGACCATGAATCCATTGTCAATTGTCAGAAAAGCCCATCTGGTTCACTAATATCCTTTAGGGAAGGAAACTGCCATCCTTACCTGGTCTGGCCTACATGTGATTCCAGACCCACAGCAATGTGGTTGACTCTTAACTGCCCTCTGGGCAATTAGGGATGGGCAATAAATGCTGCCTAGCAGCGACAACCTCATCTCATCAACGAATAAAGAAAGTATTTAACCAACTTCTTCTTGAGAGTTACCACTGAATATTGTTTCCGCCTCTCTTTCAGCATTGTATTGACTGGCAAATGCTTTTAAGTCCAGAATTCTGGCTGTGAAGCACTTTAATAAATGGTAGTGATGCACCATTGGAATAGCATGACTTGGGGCCATCCTTGGCATTGAAGTCACACAGTTAGTATTGAGCAGAGATAACATCTCAGAGAGGAATGTGCACCCACACCCCTATCCTCCATCTACTCTTAACTTAAGGAAAAATTGGAACTGGGAAATAAATCAGTCATTGAGTATATACAAACCCTTGGGTGGGTTCAGAAGAAAACCTAACCTTGGACTTATTTTCTTTTGCCTTTTGTTTTTAAGGAGATTTTCAGCGACGTTTGTTTTATGCTACAATGTGAGTGGTTTCTTTGCACTTTTTAAATAAAGTGAGGCAACATTTTCCCTGTGTTATCCCTGAGTCCTCAGCTGTAAGATATCACTGAATGGAAGGTCAATCTCACTCTGATTAAACCCAATCTCACAAGAGGTTGTTGCAATGTGACCCTCCTATTTTTCACACCGACCGTCCTTGTTACCTTCCCTGAGGTTGAAATGCCAGTAAATGCTGAATTGTGGAGCATTTTGCTCTGTGTTTGCACACTGTCTTGATGTAGTGGCATCCTATCAACCCGGCTGGGTTTAAACCCAGATGCCTGCTCAGGGATGAACGGGATACCTCAACCCCCGGCATGTGAAGCAGCACGTTGCTGCCAAGCTACATCCCTCTACGTTTTTCTGCAAGGTGGCACAGTTTAGAGGGAACTTGTTGCCAAAGTATTCCATAAGACCATAAGGAATAGGAACAAGAGTAGGCCATTCAGCCCCTCAAGTCTACTCTGCCATTCAATAGAATCATGGCTGATTCAACATTCCTGGTATCCACTTTCCTGCCCTTTCCCCATATGCTTGATTCCCCAACTGATCAAAAATCTACCTATCTCAGCCTTAGATATACATAAGGACTCTGCCCCCATAGATCTCTGTGGCAAGAAGTTCCAAAGACTCACAATCCTCTGAGAGATGAAATTCCTTTTCATCTCAGTCTTAACTTGGTGCCCTTTTATTCTGACGCTGTGCCCACTGGTCTTAAAATCTCCCATGAGGAGAAACATCCTCTCAGCATTTACCCCCTCAAGCCCCTTAAGAAATCTATAGGTTTCAATGAGATCACCTCTTCGAAATTCCAGTGAGTAGAATCCCAATCTGTGTAACCTTTGCTCATGAGACAAGCCCTCTGTACCAGGGATCATCCTAGTGAACCTTCCATTCCTTGATGCTTCTCACTTGTCCAGGCACAACTCACAATAAGAAATTAAAACTAAATTAATAATGATGCCTTTCCAATACTGCCACCTACTCCCCACATTTAATAACAAGCCTGTTCAAAAACAATTTATTACATACCTCCAGAGCAGGTGGAACTTTAACCTTGGCCTCCTGCCTCACTGTGCCACATGAGCCCCTCCACCTAGCTCACAATATTCAGAAAGAAGAGAGGACACTAGTATCCACATTGCTTCCTTGTATGAAATCATTTAGCCAAGAATAAGGTTTGGGACTTCCTCTTCTCACATGGCTTAATATATGATCCAATGAGTTATGTAGCAAGTGTGGGGTCCTTCTCTACATCTCCATCCTCTTTCAAGATGGTTTATCAACAGCTCTGATGTTATCACTGGCCAAAATTAGAAATGCACCAGCCATACAAATGCAGTAACTGCAAAAGCAGGTCAGAGGCTAGGAATTCTGTGGCAAGTAACTTAAAGCCTGTCCACCATCTACAAGGCACAGGTCAGGAGTGTGATGGAATTCTCACCCCTTCCACTTACCTAGATGGGTGCAGCTCCAAGAAGCTTGACACCATCCAGGATAAAGCAGCCTGCTTGATTGACACCACATCCACCACCTTTGACATCTACACTCTATTGCACTGTGGCAATAGTGGAAACCATCTACAAGATGCACTGGGAAAATTCACCTGGTAGCTCCCTTGACGGCACCTTCCAAACTTGTAACCTCTACCACCTAGAAAGACAAGGGCAGCAGATACATGGGAATACCATCACCTATGAGTTCCCTTGCAAGCCACTCACCATCCTGACTTGGAACTATATTGCTGTTCTTTCACTCTCGCTGGGTTGAAATTCGCCACCTCCCTAACTGTGCAGTGATGTGCCTAATTTCATGGACTGCGATGGTTTAAGAAGGTAACTCATTATCATACTTTCAAGTCTGAAGGATGGGTATTACATATTGGCCGAGTCAGCAATACCCTGTGATCAAATTTAAAATATTGAGTAAGTCCTGTTCCAATGTTGCCTTATTTGACTGTGTCAATCCTGTTCAATAAAGATCTTGGAATGTTCTTTCATGTTCAAAGTGCTATATAAATAAACATTCGTTTTGGTTAGCCATTATTTTTGTTGCATTTGTTAAATCTGTTATTTGCACATTTTCCCCAAGAGTAAATTCCACTAAAATTGTTGTTATTGTTATAAATTGTTACAAAATGGATTTTCCAGAATAATTAAGGATGTGGTTATCAGACTTGAACATTCAGGAATAAACCAATAATGGAAATTCATCATGAGCTGTGAAGCTAATGTGATCTAAAGGACAGCCTTGATAGTGAACAATGAGAGATTGGAAAAATGAAAGAACTGCTGATGCTGTAAATCTGGAACAAAAACAAAGTTGCTGGAAAAGCTCAGCAGGTCTGGCAGCATCTGTGAAGGAAAAAACAGAGTTAACATTTCAGGTCTGGTGACCCTTCCTCAGAACAGAGGTCTGAGGAAGGGTCACCAGACCTGAAACGTTAACAATGAGAGATTTGAACTCATGGTGTTTTATGAGGTTAAAGTGACAATTGCAGAATTGACTGTACCTGGATTCCTTCAGCTTCATACTCCTCCTGCTCCGATTTCAGTGTCAACTCAATCAGCAGCTGCTGGAGCTTCTCATTACAGTAATTTATGCAGAACTGCTCGAAACTGCGGAGAGGGAGGTCATTCACTTGATTAAATACATTTAGGAGAGGAGTTTCATTGATGTTTTCCTGCCCGTCTGAATTTGCCGCACTCTGTTCTGTTCGGTTTCTAATGAGCCCAATTGTGAGAACATTCTCCTCCAATGGTACAGCATGATTGCCCTCTGGTTTCCCCATTCACCTGCCTATCCTAATGCATTTGGTTCCCAACCTGAACTCTCTAAAGGAAGAATTTCTCTCTTATTGATTCCAAAGGTGAGGGGGCTTGTCTTATGAACAGAGATTGGTCAGTTTAGGCCTATGCTGTCTGGAGTTTAGCAGAATGAGAGGAGATCTAGTTTAGGTGTAAGAGATACTAAGAAAACTAGCATGCAGATACAGCAGATAATAAAGAAAACAAATGGAATGTTGGCTTTTATAGCTAAAGGAATAGAATATAAAGGTAAGGAAGTATTGTTGCAATTATACAAGGCATTGGTGAGACCGTACCTGGAGTATCGTGTACAGTGTTCGCCCCCTTATTTGACGAAAGATGTAGTGGCAGTGGAAGCAGTTGACAGGACGTTCACTAGATTGATCCCAGAGATGAGGGGTTTGTCATATGAAGAGAGATTGAACAGTTTAGGCCTGTACTCTCTGGAATTTAGAAGAATGAGGGGAGATCAAATTGAGATATTAAAGACGATAAAAGGTATGGATAAAGTAGACGTGGAGCAGATGCTTCCTCTTGTGGGATATTCTAGGATGAGATGTCATTGTCTTAGGATAAGAGGTAGCAAATTTAAAACAGAGTTGAGAAGAAACTACTTCTCCCAAAGGGTGGTGAATCTGTGGAATTCGCTACCCTAAAGTGCAGTGGATACTGGGACCGGGAGTAAATTTAAGGAGGAGTTAGATAGATTTTTAATTGGTAATGGGTTGAAGGGTGACAGGGAGAAGGCAGGAAAATTGGGGTGAGGATCATATCAGGAATGCAGCGGTTCAAGAAGGCAGCTCATCACCACCTTCTCAAGGGCAACTAGGGATGGGCAAGAAACGCTTGCCAGCCAGTGATGCCCACATCCCACAAAATGAGTAGAAAAAAATAGTCATGATCAAATGGCGGAGCAGACTCGATGGGCCAAATGGCCTAATTTTGCCCCTATTTCTTGTGAACTTATAAACTTATGTTTGATAAAGTAGACGTGGAGATGATGTTTCTTCATGTGGGGCAAACTAGAATGAGAGGTCACAGTTTTAGGAAAATGGGTAGCAGTTTTAAAACAGAGATGAAGTGAAATTACTTCTCAAAGGTCATGAATCTGTGAAATTCACTATCCCAGACTGCAGTGGATACTGGGACGTCAAGTAAATTTAGGGAGGGGATAGACAGATTTTTAATTCTTAATGGGTTAAAGGCTTATGAGGATGGGTAGGAAAGTAGACTTGAGGCAGAGATGAGATCACCCATGGTCATTTCGAATGGCAAAGCAGGCTCAGGGGCTGGATTATTTGCCCCTGCTCCTGGTTTTTACCTTCTTGTGTCCTTACTGCACTTGACTACAATAGTTTACATTAGCAGACAATGCATTATAACAGCTAGAAAAGAGGGACAAGGAAGGAGGGTGCATGTGTATGCATTTCCAACCTGTGTGTCCTTGCATCGTCCCCTCCTTTCTTAACATACTGACTCCTGTTAGGATACTGTTCCAAAGGCTCTTCCCTCTGATGCTTTGCCCCAATGGCTGATCATTGTCTGTGAGGCTGGTGAGTGATGGCAGCCCACTTGACATCGGGACCCACCACAATGAACACTGTTCTTAACCTGAGCTGAAGTCCACAGACATCCATACATTGTGCAGACACAATCATCGAGTAGTGTTTGTTGTGTGTGGGTTCCTTCAAGCCTGAAGTGATCCCATATGGTTTAATCATAGATTCCCTGCAGTGTGGTAACAGGCCATTCGGCCCAGCAAGTCCACACTGACACTCTGAAGACCGTCCCACACATAACCCATCACCCTACCCTAAACCTGTAACCCTGCATTTCCCATCACCCATCCACCTAGCCTGCACATCCCTGGTCACTATGGGATCCACCTAACCCGCACATCTTTGGACTGTGGGAGAAAACTGGAGCAAACCCACAGGGAAAACATGTAAACTTCACACATACAGCTGCCCAAGAGTGGATTTGAACCCAGGACCCTGGTGCTATGAGACAGCAGTGCTAACCACTGAGCTACCATGCTGCACATTAAGATAGCCACCTTTCAGGTCTAATTAGAAGAGTCTATTGAGAAGAATCTATTGAATTGCTGCGACTATTTACAGATTCCATGATTATGACCCAATTACCACTCAGGTTGTTATGTTACACACTGGACTCCAGTCTTACTCTGACAAACTCAGAGATAGTAAGAACAGCCGACATAGGAGTCAGAGATAACACAGTGTGGAGCTGGAGGAAGGCAGCAGGCCAGGCAGCATCAGAGGAGCAGGAAAGCTGATGTTTCAGGTTGAGACCCTTCTTCAGAGAAAAGGGCAGAGAGGCAGAGACAAAACTCCATCTTTACTCTTTCTTAGTCCTATGACATAATCTCATAAGCGTGGGTGATGTTTGCGGCACTCAATCAAGAATTACCGTTTCAGACAATCTCAGACTCATATACAACAGTGTTTAGCAGCAAAACAGAAAGCGCTGACTGATATTTGTCCCCTCTCCTTGGCACAGGGGTGGCTGACACAAATCGTAGCATCTCCCTTCATCCGTGCGACTCAGCACAGTCCAGCAATCAAACAAATCAAATATTCCTGAGCTTTCATGGAGATGAGAGTAATAAAGGCTAGGTATTCAACGTAAGGGAGTAACGATTACAGTTAATCCCTCCATGAATTTGTCATGAGATGCTGTGTGTCCACAGGTGTCTGTTTTTAATGGATTATTGATAGGACACATACTGTCCTGTTGTTACTGTGCAGGTATCACGTGTATTCAGATAATTGGATAGTCCCCAGCAAAGCAAGGAACAATTCCGTCAATAGGACAACAACAGTTCAAGGCACCCATTTAAGATAGCAACGTATTGGAATCTGATAGGGTTTCTACAAAAATAAGGAAAAAGGAAAGACTTGCATTTATATAGCCCTTTCCTGGATGTTTCAAAGCACGTTGCAACAATGAAATACTTTTTGAAATAGTAATAACTGTTGTACTGTCACCAATTTGTGCTCAATAAATGAATGGCATTGTGATAATGACCAGATGATTTTTTGGGTGAAGTTAATTGAGGGATAAATATTAGCCAGGACTTCAGGGGTAACTCTCCCTTTAAAAACAACACAATGGAGACTTTCACATTCATTCAAGCTATCCTGTGTCCTCAGTTTAATGTCTCATCTGAAAATATCTCTGGCACTGCGCTGGAAAGCTGTATATTGCTGTGCTCATCTCCTGGAGAGGGACTTGAACCCAGACACAGTTGCTACCAAATAAGCCACAGATGATACACATGTTAGATGCTTTAAAAGATGCAATTTTGGTCCATTCTTCACTGGAGGTGCCCTTTCCCCCTCCCTGGTTTAGATTATTTTAACTTCTACAGGTTAAATGTCAGCGGTTTGATTCCACATCAGAGGAAGCACATTGTAGCCCAATGACATCTAGAATGGCCTTAAATTCAGGGAGCTGGAGATCAAAGGTGAATATTCCAGTTCATCAAGTGACCGTAGTCCTTTCAACAAGATTGCTGACTTCTTGTAAATTGTTGGAAATTGAGAGTCCGGATTCAAGCAGTGTAACTGACTAACCAAAGTCTGATAGTAATCCACCTGGAAGTGGACTCTAACATTTGTTCAAGAGTTTGGTTTTCTGACTAAAGTGGTCATTTTGTAATGCTGCAGATGCGAATTGGAGTTATTATAAGTTATTTAACTTGGGGTGGTGAGTGAGATGACAGGCATCTGATTGAGCATCCATCACATTGATTTCTCTCTCTCATTGACTTTAATGGAGACCAGAAATCTATGAGGTGTGGAATGGGCGACTTACTTAATAGCAATGCCTTAGGCCAAAGTCAATTCTATATAATTGGCTCCACAACGGCACACTCATTAACAAAAGTTGTGTGTAATTTCTCATGGCACACAAGTTTTATTAAGCTGCATCGTTTCTGATATTTTCTGTCTACGTGAATATAACCAGATTTTGGCAGGTAATATTCAACTATGACTTTTCATCAACAACGGTTCATTCAGTCTGTCAGATGTGGCCTCAAACTGCAGCCGAATGTATCCCAGGTATTGCCAGTTAATTGTGACTAGATTAATAGTAGGGTCCACTTCTACCAGGAGAGAACTCCCATTAAACTTAACAAATCATTTTAAATACAAGGTGCAGGCTGGCTAATGAAAAGCTGATTAATTGTTGCGGTGGGTGAGCCAATTGTCTTTGCTCAGGCTTAACACCAGACTAAGAAATCAGTGCTGAAAGAAAGACAGGAATAAGTTTGATATTTGTTTGTCCTGGCTGTAACATTACATTGACATCCCTCAGAAATGACATGGTTCATCCCAAGAAATTCTTACCTGTTGACATCAAAGACTTCAAATCCATAGATATCCAATAGACCAATCACGGTTTTTCTGCTTGAGTCCTACAAAAAAAAAACTGGAATCACAAATCACTCTCTGATCAATCACTAAAACTGACCAAGAGTTAAAATCAGGACATAGAGTTGGTTAGCTCAATTCGAGGTATCATAAAGAAGGTGGTGGCATAGAGATGGCAATGCTTCTCCTGAATGCCATGTTTAGAGTCCGCATTACTCCACTAACATACAAATGTATTTTAAAAAGCATTTGTTCAAGTACAAAATTATAAAAATTTGTAAAAAGATATGCTTGGTGATCATACTGTATCAATGACCTGGTGATTAGTCTTTTGTCTCATTCATCCTTGTTTTTGCTCTAAGGTTATCTCCAGTGAGGCTCTTAATTTTGTGCTTGCTCTCCTGTTTGAATCAGTACTCTCCCATTCAAAGATGTACAATTATGCACAGTAATTAATTGCATTACATGAGTATTTATCTTTCTGGCTTCCTTTCCTATCGATACATCATGACTTTCTCTCTCTCCCTTTCCCTCTCAGGGAATCAACCTTCAAACAAAAGCAAAATGACCTCCCCTTCTCATACAAACATATAACAATCTATTTGTACTGATGTATGTATTTGAATATGTCAATGCCATAAATGCAGCAAACATGGTCATTTGTGCTATGTGCGAATTGTATAGAAATAAATACATTTATTTCCATGAGATAAATGCACCAGATTAGAGCTGAATTATCCTGTATCCAATTAGTTGGCTCATTACATTTTATCAGATTAAGGCTGCATTACTTTGTACCAGATCAAAGCTGCTTTCCTCTGTACCAGATTTGAGCTGCATTACAATCAGACAGATTAGAGCTGTATTTATGGGAATACCTATCCTTACCTGATTAGCTAGTGATTCATTGATCTTATTAACGAGCCAAGTAAAAGTACGTCCATAAATAGCTTTTGCTAATGCATCACGAGCACAAAAGGCTTGTTCAACACTCAGAGGGCTCAAAACCTGTGAAAAACAAACAATAACTGAATTTAAGGAGTGAAACGCTGGTTGATTTTACAATTATTCCAGATTCTACTTGTCTGTCATTTAGTGAAATTGATACACATTTCAATTTAAAATAAACTATTATGTCATTCGGTCTCAAACAAACCAGGGTGACAATAGAAAATCTATGGTTGTACAATAACACATGGCTTCAAGGAGCTCAGATTCAAAAGCCCTCAGCCACACAGCATGGATTACTCAGTCTAGAAGCCCTCAAAGTAGTGGCCAGGCTTGAGTGTGTACACCTTGCCAACCAGAGTTGAACTGCACAACATTCCCTGTCTCAGCTTCGTTCGCAAGAACCCAGCAAGTCTTTGTGAAACCATTCCTCTTGTACCTCATCTGCTTTGGCTTCGATCTTCTTGTGAGTTAGACCTTCCTGCAGGACTAGGACATGTACACCCAGCAGCTGTGAAAACAAAGACACGATGAAGAGAGGCAGAAAGGTGCACGTTTTGTACGAATTCTCCTCAGTGTTGCTGAAACAAGAGGCTGGCAATTTTGAAGCTTTTCATCACGACAATTTGTAATGGGGACAAGAAGCTTTTCTTTTTCTCTGGCTTCCCATTATACATCCCTTTGTCTGTCTACTCTCTTTCTCTCCTTCTGGGCTCCATCCCCACCTACCACTTACTCTTTTACACTCTCCACTCTCTGCCCCCCACCAACCCCTGTCTCCAGCATATATACCAACTTTTCCCAGCTACTACTAGTTCTGAAGAATGGTCACTGGACACAAAATGTTAACTCTGCTTTCTACCCACAGATGCTGCCAGATCTGCTGAGTTTCTTCAGCAATTTCTGTTTCTGTTTCAGATTTCCAGCATCCATAGTTTTTTTTGTTTTATTTTAATAGCTGGCACCTACTGTGTTGAGATAAAACATGCTGAGTGCATATACACAATCTTGCTGCTTACAGTGACCAGGCGCCTGTTCAATATATATGTATCATTATTAATACACAGCAAGGCTGAGACAGGACATGATTACAGACAGAACAAACATGTACGCATGCTGTTTTGTAATTAAATGGTGATTATACACTGTTAATCTGAACATTACAGAAGCATTCACATCAGCCCATTATTTAAAAAAATGAATTCAGTCTCTTCCACCATTCAGTTGGGTCATATTTAATTTATTTCTTTACTTCCCCTACATCATAATTCCAAAATTTTCAATACCCTCACCTAACAAAAATCTCAGCTTGACGTTTTTGATTGAGCTAGTCTTAATAGTTTCTTGGGGAGAGACTTCTAGATTTTCATTCCCTTTTAACAAGAATTTCTTGGTGTCATTGTTAAATGACTTAGTTCTAACTTTAAGGCAATGTTTGGGATTCCTCTGTCAGAGGAAATAGTTTCTCTCATATAACAAGGTGTGGAGCTGGATGAACACAGCAGGCCAGGCAGCATCAGAGGAGCAGGAAAGGTGATGTTTCGGGTCTGGACTCTTCTTCAGAAATGGGGGTCCAGACCTGAAACGTCAGCTTTCCTGCTCCTCTGATGCTGCTTGGCCTGCTGTGTTCATGCAGCTCCACACCTTGTTATCTCAAATTCTCCAGCATTGGCAGTTTCTACTATCTCTGAATAGTTTCTCTCAGTTGCCTTATCATTGTTACCTTGGAGATCCACCTGATTTCCTTGTCGACTGTGATGTTGGCATGTCCCTGGCTATCCGGATTGAACTGGATGTTTCCCAGGTGCAGAACACTGGCTATAACACCCAGCAGGTCCTGGTACATAAAAAGCAAGGTATCAATGTCTGTACACATAAATCAGGAGCTTGGGCCAAAGAACTGGTCCTCAAAACTGGCATTCACTTGACACTATCAAGTCATGGAAGCTGATTGTTCAATAAGTCAGCAGATATCTTTTTGATTAATTATTGTCACATGTACTGAGATACAGTGAAAAGTATTGTTTTGCATGCTAACCAGGCAAATCATACCTTTCAAAAGTACATTACGGTGATAGAACATAATGCAGAATAATGTTACAGCTACGCAGAAAATGCATAGAAAGATCAACTCTAACATAGGAAAGGTCCATTCAAACCTCTAGTAACCTGCAACAAATATGGGTCATTGGTATTTATTGATGACTTTAAGCTCAGCGTTTTAGACTGACTCTAAGGCTCTACCAAAGCATCAAGTGTACAGACTTACTTTGAAGTTAAGCTATAGCTGGACATGCAGCAGATATTTTTGCACACAGCAGCTTTCCCCAGTGAGTTCACTGGCTTATGATGGAATTGTTGAGGGATAGAACTCTGGGAGACCTTCCGACTCTTCCAATATCACTGTAGAAGTTTTTAGAACCCTTTTGAATAACAGGAGTAAGCAGAGGGAGCCTTAGTTTAAAATCTCATCCAAAGGGCAGTACTGATGATGTTCTTTTTTTGTATTCATAAAGGGGATCCTACAGATCTGAGCACAAAATGAAGAAGACCAGAACTTCTTAAGGTGCTAAAATTGAAACTGCAGGTCATGGAGTGGGGGAGGTGGGGTGGGGGGGTGGGGGGTGCGAAGTGGAGCAGATTGATGGACGGTGGGGGTCCACACATACTGGAAGCAAAGCCATGATTGCATCAACTTGCGTCTGGCCAGAATTGAGCTGTTCTGTGCTGGAGGTGACAGCTGGTGAGAAACTCTGGAGTGCAATTTGACATCCACAAGACATTTGCACTCAGAGGCAGGGTCTGAGCTGGTGAGACTGTTGTAAGAATTACCCAGCATCAGGCTCATGCCAGCCATGTGACTCCCTGTTTCTACTCCATACGACACTCCAACTTGCCATCACAGCACCTTCATAGTAACTGAATATATATCCTGGAGCTTCTACCTAGGATTACCACGGGAGTACCTCCATTGCACATACTGTACAGTGGCTCCCCACCTTGAGCTTCTCAAGGACAATCACAGTGATAAATCCCAGCCTTGCTATTGATACTCATAACCCCCCGACCGAAGAGTCAATGCTTAAAGTTACTCACGTCAATGTCATGGTCGGTGAAGTCAATCACAGACAATGCTTTTCGAACAGTCTTCCAGCCACTTTTGTCATTGATGGAGCTCACTTTGGCACACTCACCCTATTGAGGGGAAAAAAGTAACCAAGTCACAGAACAGAAAATGGAAACAAATCAAGGCAGTGAATACTGGAAACTACAGATGGACTTGAAGCAGTGGGCACAAACCTATACAGCAGAAAGAATTTTTCCTGTTCAATACATATGATGTCATATGAACATTCCAACTCTTTAAAGTGTCAAGGTATTTAAACAGCTTCCTCTAATGCAGAGCCTTAAATTTTAATATTTCACCCTTGACTTTCTCAAAGGTTCGGTGATTTGTCCAGTGAGAAATTGAATCACTTAGAACAGAAAGATAGCACGTTCATTCTTCAAATAAGACCATAAGAAATAGGAACAGGAGCAGGCCATTCAGCCCCTCGAGCCTGCTCCACCATTCAATAGGATCATGGCTGATCCAACATTCCTCAAATGCAACTTCCTGCCTTTCCCAGTAACCTCTGATTCCCTGACCAATCAAGAATCTACCTATCTCAGCCTTAGATATACAGAAGGACTCTGACCCCATAGCTCTCTGTGGCAAGGAGTTCCAAAGACTCACAATCCTCTGAGAGATGAAATTCCTCCTCTTCTCAGTCTTAAATTGGAGCCTCTTTATTCTGACACTATGGTCTCTGGTCTTAAACACTACCATAAGGAGAAACATCCTCTCAGCACTTGCCCTGTCAAGCCCCTTAAGGATCTTATAGGTTTCAATGAGATCATCTCTTATTCTTCTAAACTCCAGTGAGTAGAGTCCCAACCTGTTTAATCTCCATACTGGGGATCATCTTAGCAAACCTTCTCTGAATGGCCTCCAATGAAATGATATCTTTCCTTAAACAAGGGGACTTAAATTGCTCACACTACTCCAGATGTGGTCTCACCAGCACCTTGTACAATAACCTTAAGGCTTCCCTACTCTTATCCTTGATTTCCCTTGAAATGGGGCCAAAATTCCATTACTCTTCCTGTTTACCTGCTGGACCCAATGCTAGCTTTCTGTGTCTTGTGCACAAGTAACCCCAAATCTCTTTGTGTTGCAGCTTTCTGCAGTTGTCTTCCATTTAAACAATATTCTGTTCTTTTGTTCTCCCTTCCAAAATGGAGAATTTTGTATTTTTCCACATTATACTCCATTGCCAACTTGTTGCCCACTTGCGTAGCCTGTGTTGATTCCATGGAATGATATTGAATGGACGGCACAGAAACATGTTCAATTTGAGTCTCCTGCCACCTTTCCTCATCAACATTTGCCGGCGTAGTTCGCTATCATGCACGAATGTCATTTCCCTTAAATGCATCTATAATATTCCCTTCAAGGGCGATGCGGTGGCTCAGTGGTTAGCACTGTTGCCTCACAGTGCCAGGGACCGGGGTTCGATTCCACCCTTGGGTGACTATCTGTCTGGAGTTTGCACATTTTCCCCGTGTCTGCGTGGGATTCCTCTGGGTGCTCTGGTTTCCTCCCACAGTCCAAAGATGTGCAGGCTCGGTGGATTGACCATGCTAGATTGCCCATAGTGCTCAGGGATGTTTAGGTTAGGTGGATTAGACATGGGAAATTAGGGGAATGGGTCTAGGTGGGATGATTTTCGGAGGGGTGGTGTGGACATGTTGGGCCGAATGACCTGTTTCCACACTGTTGGGGTTCTATATTCTATGTAAACACCCCATATGATTTGATGAACATAAAATTATTAAGAGAACAGAATGTTCTCTTAGAATGCCTTGAGCTGTAGCTGACAGCAATGCTAACACTGTCCCCTGGATTAGACTTGTGAAAATGTATATTCCACTTTGGACAGACACGACCAGCTGGATATCCATGTGTCTAGTCAATGCTAGAGTACAACACGAATGGGGAGATGCTGTCGAAACTCTTCCTCTTGTACCCAACATGACAGAATCACAAGAACGCCAAATCTCAAAAGGAACATCAATTTATATTGTGTGAGAATAGAGTGCTAATAGGTTTGCATGTGGACTCTGATTGGTCGAGGTGCTGCCTTAAAGATCAGTTGATACTAACTTCTTGTTGAACTCTAACTGAAGTGGTGTTTCACGTGACCATGTTAGCATCCCCCCCACCCCGCCCCAGTTCTTACCTGGATAAGGTAGTGGTACTGCAGTGGGTTACGATCCAGGCCCAGCCAGCGAAGTAGTTCCTCCTCTCCTCCCTCCAACAGCTGGTAGAAAATATGAAAGTTCCGCTCTCCGTGATTCTGATGGGCCACCCTTGACTTCTCCAGGAGGTAGCTCAGAATGTGGCCCCCGACTGGGGCACCCTGGAAAGAGAACAAGTTGGATGTGACAGTGCATGCGCAGATAGAGAGGGGACAGGACACACATAGCATTGTGACACCTGTATGAACACCAGAGATTATCCAGTGCCAATCAATGCATTGTGGAATCAGAAGAATCTCAACAACAAACAGGGTCTGGCATTTACATAGACCCTAAAGGAAGTTTGGTGGAATGAATGCCAATTTCTGTTCTATTCTATCAGTCCTGTCCTTTACTTGGACACCGTGCATTGAGGCTTGAGCCAACAATTCAGAAGCACATGAAGCATAAGCTGTGCTGTAGAAACTTTCCAAACCCACGACCACTTTCATCTAGAAGGACAAGGGCAGCAGATAGGTGGAACAACAACACCACCTGCAGGTTCTCCTCCAAACCACTCACCATCCTGATTTGGAAATATATCACTGTTGCTGGGTCAAATTTCCTCCCTAATGGCATTGTGGGTCTACCTACAGCACATGGACTACAGTCGTTCAAGAAGGCAGCCCACCACCACCTTCTCAAGGGTAATTTGGGATGGTTAATAAATGCTGACCCAGCCAATGGCTCCCACATCCTGTCAATGAATAAATAAAGGGCACTGTATGGGATTTCTGTGTCTCCAAACAGAATGGGCTAAGCTAGTGCATTGTCAACGTTACCTCCTTTACTATCAGAGACGGATAGCAGTCGGCCTTGTGTACATGCCTTACTTGGCTGACATCCCTACAACATCACCACCATATATTATTTGCTGTTAGCTATCAGTGGTAGAGCTGCACTGAACCATGGTAGATGAAGTGCAAGAATTGTAGCCACCATGCTGTCTCTTTAAGAATGGTTTAACTGCTGATAATCCTTCCTTAAAGCATCTCTATCACTCTCTACATCATGATATTTTTCCATTAATTGGGTTTACACTGATGGAATGTTAGTAATGGCTTGTGGAATAGAGATCCCAAACCTTCCTTATTTTGATTTTCCAAATCCATGTTTTACTGTTTCTTTTTATCTCTTCTGGGCTTAGCGATAATGCCTAGTTTGAAAGGGCAGAAGTATAGCTGATCTGTTCAAGAACAGATCTTCTCATGGTTTATACTGGGCAATGGGGGTAGAATGAGGAGATTATTGGGTCAGTGCCAAGGGAACTTCACCCCCACACAATTCATCTCTCATAACCCTTCCATTTCCTAACTGTTCTTCTACAAAGTACCTTTGGATGTTGTTCTATGTTCAAAAGACTCTGCAGATGTGAATTATTGCATTGGTGCTAAGTTAGCCCATTGTTTGAAATTTAGCTTAAAGAAAAGAGCACCTTCACTGATGATTACGTTTCACTGGGTTAACCATATTGCTTTGCTGAAAGTTCATTGCTTATTTCTGTCCCAGTCTCCAGCATTGATCTCCCCAAATTAATCTTCCACCAAATACAATCCGATTGGTATCTGGTCTCTAGTTGTTTTTACTGGCACGTCACTGATCTCTTTTGGTTTCAAACAATGATTCAGTTCAACCTGGTGTAAGTGCCAGCCTCTATTTGATACAACTCAGTTCTCTTTGAATACTTTGTTCTGATCTGCAACAAAATAAAGCCTGGATCGTTAAAATCCACACAATGGAATATTTAGAATGCCCTGAATTGGACATATATGTGAGAATAGCCCAGGCAAAAATCAGTGGCAGTAAGTACAGGATGCTTTTGCCAATATGTCAGCTCTTCAGGCCTTACTGAACTGCGAGCTAAATACACAAGAGAATATGAAGAACAGAAATCCAATTGGCTTGTGTAACCCGCAATGTTAATGACACTGGAATATTGAGGTGGCTGTAGTAGAATGATATGCCTGTCATGGACATGTGTAGAAACATATCATTATAACATGTATATGATTGGAAATAAAAGCACAGGAACATAAGAGATAGGAACAGGTGTAGACCATTCACTCCCTAAGGTCGACTGCATTGTTCAATATGACCATGACCGCTCAACACTGCAGCTCCACGATTCCACATTATCCTTATATCCCTCGATTCTCTGAGAAATACAACTTCTGGCTCTCTCTGCCTTAAAATTTATTCAATGATAATACATCCACAACCTGCTGGGCAGGAAATTGCAAAGATTCATGGTTTTCCGGGTGAAGAAATTTCACTAAATGTTTGCCCCCTTACCTTGAGATTGTGCTTCATGTCCTAAATTCCTCAGTCAGGAAAATAAACTCTCTGTGTCCAACCTGTCAAGCCCCTTTAGAATCTTATATGTCTCAATGAGATCACCTCTCATTCTTCTAAATTCCAGAAGATACAGACCCAACTTACTCTCGTTGTAGGACAACCCTCTCATCCCAGAGACTAATCTTGTGACCCTTCACTGTTCTGCCCCCATTGCCAGTGTACCTTTAAATAGAGACCATATCTGCACACAATAATCCAGGTGTGATCTTGCCAAAGAACTATCTAATAGTTGCAAGGCATCCTTATCCTTGTACTCTAAACCATTTGTTATAAAGGCCAACTTGCTATTTGCCCTACTAATTGCTTGCTATGACTGCGTGCTGACTTGCTTTATTCCTCTCATACATGTGCCCAAGTCTTTTAGAATATCAACAGTTATTTTAAGTCTTTTAAAAAAAAATTCTCTGCTCTTCTATTTTTGCAGCCAAAGTGTACAGGCACATACTTTCCCACATTATACTTCCTCTGCCACCTAGTGGTTGCCTCATTTAAAGGGCAGAACTTTTTTGCATCCAGCACATAATCACCTTGAGTTGAGCTTGGAGTGAAGGCTGGGCATTTGATCAGATAGGAGGGTGTGGGGCTAGGAACCCTGCCACTTACCCACCTCTGCCCCATTTATGCCTGGGGTGGGAAGGCTCATGGGGTGCCTTTAGACCAATTGATGGCCTTGAGTGAGCAATTAGGTCTTGTGTTGGGACCTGGCACCTGGAAGGAAATGCCCACTGAACTTTAGCCCCCAGACTCTTTATCTGAGCCCCTCCTATCTCCCCCACTGTCCAAGACAGTCGCACCCTCTCCCTTCCACCCCGACCCCCAGCTCTCACTAACCTGCGATCTGGGTCCCCTGTTGATCTTAAGCCTATGGTGGATGCATTGTCAGCCTCTGATTGGCCAGCAGTTCTGGGGGCGTGGGATTAGAATTTCTGCTTCTCAGGAACTTGACCCAGGGCAAGGTTCACCACTGGCCATTTACAGGCCTTCCCCAAAGGAGGGGACACAGGATATTGGTCAGTTCTGAGGAAGGCTCACTTGACCTGAAATGTCATCCATAGATGCTGCCAAATCGGCAATCTCTATTTTTGTTAGCTCTCCCCCATCACCTGGATTAAGTTCCGTTGAGCCTGTTTATATATCTTTGCAGTCTCTTTGTGTCGTTCTTACAGTGTACATTCCCGTTTAGTTTAGATTTGTATTTTCTATTGTATTCCTGTTGATAAGTAGCCTCCTTCCAGCAATGATGTTGAATTTCTCACGCTCAGTGCAATCTACTCACTTGAACCATAACTCTCTCCAAGTTCACTATCCAACTAAACTTGCCTAGTTTTGACCAGCCTAACTTCAGTTCACTTCTTAGACATATTATGCTGCAGTGAACCTGGCTTGGATATTAAAACAGAAGTTGCTGGGAAAGCTCAGCAGGTCTGGCAGCATCTGTGGAGAAAAATCAGAGTTAACGTTTCAGGTCCGGTGACCCTTCCTCAGACCCATTCTGATGAAGGGTCACAAAACCGAAATGTTAGCTCTGATTTTTCTTCACAGATGTTGCCAGACCTGCTGAGTTTTTCCAGAAACTTCTGTTTTTGTTCCTGATTGATAGCATCTGCAGTTCTTCTGGCTTGGATATTGATGGGGCCATGGTGATTATACTTTACCAAGAATCTAATACAATGGGAACATGGTCTGTAGTGAGAGGAACCTCATTCCGCTTCTAATATGTAACGTACATCATTAGAGGGTATTTAATGGGCATTACAGAGGTGACTTACTCTAGGAACAGGAGGAGACCGTTCGGCCCTTCTAGACTGCACTGCCATTCAATATGTTCATGGTTGAGTAGCCTGTGTAGCCTGTTCCTGCTTTCACCCCATACCCTTAGGGGGCATTTGACAGGAGAATGGAGAAGGTGCTGTCACCTCTCTCTCAATGTCTTCCTGTAAATACAGCCTGATTGGATTGAAATCATTACTCAGTACACTTTCTCCACTACATTCTTTCATGACAAACTGAATTTTGCTCTTAAAGTTTTCTTTCCTCCTTTAGATGTTGGATTTTTCAACTGAAAGTTTATAGGAATGAATCACTGTTTCCTCAATAATCAAACTGGGTGGTGGCACAGTAAGCAACTTTCAGGCTCTGAGGCAGGGGCTCGTTCAATCCATCCGTCTTTCTTTTCCTTTTCTTTTTTTCTCTTTTCTCTTTAGTTTGTTTTTTTAGTTAGCGTTCTTTAACCTACCCTCTGGAGGGAGCTCGGCTGCGGAGGCGATGGTATCAGGGTGTGGCAGCAATTGGCCTGGGCCGGAGCTTGGCGAAAAGGCAGCTGGTCCTCCAGGTGGAACTCCAGCGGTTGGTGGCATTGAGGCATCGTCAAAGTCCAGTGTGGTTGTTGGGCAAGGCAGCTGGCAAACCCTGATGGCAGTCGGCAGCGAGATGGCAGCATGAAGGAGATCGAGCCCAGCGCAGGGGGAGAGAATGTGCCCTCGTGGGGAAAGTCCAGCATGAAGCGTCTGCAGGCCCATGGCTAAAGTGGACTGTATTGTTGAACTTTTAACTTTATTTTCTTTACTTTTCCACTTTATACTAAGAAGAACTGCAATGTTTAACTTTTATTTCTTTATTTTTCTACTTTGTACCTGAGATTTTGTACCGAGGTACCTTTGTACTGAAGATGGCATTGGAAATGGTGACTTTGTACACTTTTCACTGTATTCCTGTACACGTGACAATAAAACCTAATTCTAATTCTAATTCTAATCCTAATTCTAATTCTAATCCTAATTCTAATTCTATCCCCACCCCCACCCCCTCCCACATATCTTCTCTTTGATTCCTGGTACCTTGCAGGCCTTGATCTCTCACCTTGGCGTATAGATGAAAACTAAAATGGCACACATACCATGTAACTGAACTGGATATCCATGTATTTTCCAAAGCGGCTGGAGTTATCATTCCTTAGGGTCTTGGCATTTCCAAAAGCCTGAAATTAAACAAAACACAACCTATTGCAAGCTCTATCTTTTTGGAAACAATGTTTGCAGGGGAATGGCGATGGGGATGGGGAGCAATGAGCTTTCATCTTTACTAAGACCATGGCATGGGTGCTCACCTCGAGTACAGGGTTTGACAGTAGGAGGCGATCTCGCACCACCTGCAGCTGCTCTGTGGTCTGGCAGGTCTTGGCGTAGAACTCAAGGATCTTTTTTGAGGCTTCTGTCTTCCCTGCTCCACTCTCCCCCGAAATCAGGATGAAATGGTTGGTGTACTCAGTGCACATCACTCGATAGGCGTTGTCAGCAATAGCGTAGCTGGGGCAGGGGAAAGAGGCAGATGGATGTGCGGTACAGCTCACCTTCCCCAGCGAGTCGCTCTTCCCATTCCTCCCTCGTCACACCTACTCTCAGACCCATGAGTCACCGCTTCGAAAGACAAGGAGAGGAGGAGCATGCAAATACCATTCACCTGACCTGGACGTGTAACACCCATTCCTTCATCATCACTGGTACTGGAATTGCAGACCTAACAACACCACTGAGGCACAAAGGCCCACCATCCCTTTACCATTTCTTCACCGTTGTTGGGTCAAAGTCCTGGAATTCCGTCTCTAATGGCATCGTGGGTCAACCCACAGCACATGGACTGCAATGGTTCAAGAAGGCAGCTCACCACCACCTTCTCAAGGGGCAATTAGAAATGGGCAATAAACGCTGGCCCAGACAGCGATACCCACATCTCCCAGGAGTGAATAAACCAATCCCCTTCCCAACGAAAGGTAGGCAGAGCCAGTCATGCCCATGCACTGAGAACGAACTTGTAAACAACTTCCCTCCATCCCCTGAAGGAACTGATACAAACTGCGATCCCATCCCATGAACACTAATAAGTTAAAACAGTCCTCAACTGTGACCCTGGATGTTTTCTATTTAATCTCTCATAGAGCTATGCCAACATGAGGACTACGTGTGTGAGAGTTCTTTTTTTAAACAGTGCTTCAAAACGCCTGTTCCACGCTTCTGGAAAGCGCAGAACAATGGCACGTCACACCATCAAAAGGCCATTCACTTACAGCAGAGAGGAAGCCAAAAATTCAATCTGTTGGTGACTTCACCACAGGTTGTTTCTGGCACTGATTAGTGAATTACCATCAGGAATCAGCTGATTTTAACCTGTCTCTGGCAAGAGTGAAGCCAGCTCAAATGGTCACATCATTCTGTACTAGATTAAACAGCAGGTCAGGATGGGGCAAGGCATACATCAGTGACACCATAAACTGTGCAAAGCTTATTGTGGATTGTTTCTTGCAATGAAACCACGGACATATTCAATGTACCGGAAATAGCAAACACACAGAATATACCCAGTATATTTGCAATGTTGCAGCGATGCAGTGAGCAGAGGAAACCTTCTCCCATCCACCCTGGCTCTGTTGGGCATCAGTACCACCACAGACTTCGCACCCGCTTCACTGCCTAGGGAGAGGAGGAATTTCCTGTGAGGTTTCCGTAAACGAACAGATCCTGACACTGTATGGTCTAAGACGCAGATTTGGTTCCATTTCTGGATCTTTGATAACCAACATCATTGAGAGATTTGGTGGGGGCAACGGAGGGTATATGGAGTTGGGCATCGATCAGCATGCCCTAATGGAAGGGCAAGCCGGAGGAAGTGGGTGGCCTACTTGTCTAATGACTGGCAATGACAGTGAAGGGTAATTTGTCTTCCTGGCCTCTTGACCTGCACTGACAAGGTGGTTGGAAAAATTGCAGAGAAGGTGGGAGTTCCTAAAGAGAAATCCACAATTTATATGACTCACATATGAGGAGGGAGTTCAAAGAAGTTCACCCCTTGGTATAGCTCCTTCTTTTTGTGTGTGTATATATCCAGCTCCTTATATGGATTCACAGATACCAGCAGAGTCCCAATATATGTCTGAAGAACAGGAGAGATTTCAGTTAGAGGAAGGTTACAACATAATGCTCTTGCACAATTTTTTGCCGATGGGACCTTGCGTCAGTGTGTTCCAAAGTTTTGTGTCAGGTTAAGTGAGTCTAAACCCTCAAACCAAGTACCTTGGGATGTCTCAGTGGTAAAAGTGCTACATCAATGCAAGTTGGGTGCTGTTGTGGTGCAGTGGTAATATCATTATCTCTGGTTGAGAAGGTTAGGATCTCGAAGTATGTCCTAACATGTCTGAGCAGAAAATATCTATAAATATATCTATAGACATTCTTGTAATCAGTCCCTGAGAAAACACCAATAAGGTGTTTGGTTGGATCTAGACCTCCTGAATTTTCTCAGCCCATGAATTCAATTGTTACTCTGGATTTGTGCCTGACCTCTGACCTCACCAGGAATTGTATGTTTATTGGCAGAAGGTATCAAGGGCAGCATTCTCCAAGTGTGAGCTTAATATTGGTCTGGTTAGGGGTGAGTGGACAGGTGTGGGCAGATGGCTTTCCCACAGCTCTCAATCTTGGTATTGACCCTGAGCCCCTCAGTGACGGAGACAATCTCCATTCGATGTCCAAAGTTGCTCACCTGGGCCAGAGCTTGTGGAAGGTTGGTGTCTTTAGTTTGGAACCTGAATGCACTGGCTCTCTGCCTTCCCTGGTAGTTTCAAAAGGGGCTTTTCGTAGGTGCTTCCTCTTCCTGAGCCATGCAGATAACAACCATTATACTCATCGGTTTTAGGCTAAAGACTGAACCTCCCCACGACCATGGAACACTTTGATGGTGCCAGTACTGATTGAAGGCTCTTTTTCCAATTGGTCAGAGGCATTCTAGTGGAATGACCTCAGTTTCTGAGGTCTAAAGAAGAAAGTTTATGGCACTGAACTGTGTTCCAGGAATAAACGATTGTCAGGGACATAAAGGAATGTAGAGTTGAGGGTAAAATCAGATCAGCCATGATCTAATTAAATGGCAGAGCAGGCCTGAAGGGCCGAGTGGCCTGCTCTTGTTCCTTGTTTGTACGTTGGAAAGTCCCAGGTTCAAGCTTCACTCTGAGCTGAGTTTGAGTCTGGGATGTTCAATGCATCCTAGAAGGCTGAGTCAGACAGATTTTTGATTTACCAGAGAATCAAAGGATTAGGGGAGACTCGCAGGAACATGGAGTTAAGGCTTCACTGGGATCAGCCATGATCATATTGAATAGCACAGCAGTTTTGATGGGCCAAACGGCCAACTCCTTGTCCTATTTCTTATGAAATTTTAATCTCCGCATCTCCTACACATCTTAAAAAGCTGTCTAAAATCTACCTCTTTGAGTGAGCTTTTGGTCACCTGACCTAATCTCCATATTTCACCCAATGACACCTCTGTCTGCCTGTGAAGGGCTTTGGGAAATTTTATTCTATCAAAAGTGTTACACGTTTGTTGTTAAAGGAGAGGTACCTAAAAGAGAGGGAGGACAATCATGTTGTGGGAATTAAATGGTGGAGTCCACGTGTTGGTTTATAGTGCTGGGTAAACAGGTGAGTTTGAATTGCCTTTCTGCTACCTATGATGGTGTGTGTCAGAAAATAACAAATAAGAATTGTATTCAGGATAAATTTAACCTACGTAAGGCAGTGCACCTAGCTTAGGCAAACATTGAACACGTATTTTGTGAAGGCAGACTATGTAAAGGTGTGCTTACATAGATGAGGTTCTCCCGAAAGCGTCTGCGAAGGTTGTCCAGAAAGGAGATCTCGCTGGTGTAAGAGTCGAGCAGGACAAAGTCTTGCACTCCCACTCTGTCACGAGCTGTCAGAGCTCCTTCCATGTTAATGTAGAATCTACTGCCCACTTCTCTCTTCTGAAAGAGAAAAGACAGAGAGAGAGAGAGAAAAGGAGGTTGTCTCCTCTGAGATGTAAGTAAGTCAATTCCTGTCAGTATCCTTTTGAGAACTGGAAAAAGCTGCTCTCAGTAAATAGAAGATATACACCATAGTGGGTGTCATTAGTATGTACAATAAGAAATAAAAAACACATTCGTACTGACTGAAGAATATTAAACATCAAATAGTCACTAATAAATCCAATCGTGAGTTTGGGAGGAATGCTTATCCCTGGAGTAGTGAGAATGTGGACCATCATATAACTCAATTGCAATTTAATATCGCTAGGTCACGCATTTCAGAAGCCCTTGTGGTTAAACACTGCCCTGTGCTGGGTTAAATGATCTTCAGCCAATGGAGTTACAAAACTGGTCTCAACTGTCACTAACTAGAAAGGGAACAACAAACGCAGTTCACATGTACATGCATTTTTTAAACAAAAAATCATTTATGGGAT